TCTGGAACTGGCTGAAACCAGTACCCAAACGAATTAAGTCCAACTGGGACCATTTCCTAGAGAAGTTGGCTGTGAACACTACACGTGTTGGAATGTCACTTAGACCATGATAAATTTCTATCTCTACTGTCTTCTGTCAGTGTCCTCCACTTACAACTTTAACTATAGAACTGGACAATTTCGCCTTGTAAAAATTTTCCTAATGTTTTTCCATGGGTTAAAAATGGTGGGTTCGGGGTTAAAGCCTCTGCCTTCGGCTCAGGTCATGATCTCAGAGTCCTGGGATCGAGCCCCACATCGGGCTCTCTGCTCAGCAGGGAGCCTGCTTCCTCCTCTCTCTCTGCCTGCCTCTCTGCCTACTTGTGATCTCTGTCTGTCAAATAAATAAATAAAATCTTAAAAAAAAAATTAAAAAAAAAAAAAAATGGTGGGTTCGGGCGCCTGGGTGGTGTAAGGACCTATTTAGCCAGAGGCTTCCATTAAGGTTAAACAATAACCTGGTTGTGTAACCCTTGAAGTGTCCGGGCTTCCCTTCCCCCAGGGGACTGACTTAAAAATAAGTCCCAGAAACCAGCCCAGATACAAGGGTGGGTCAGGCCAGGTGGAGTCATTCGATCCATGGGGGGTTGCATACTGTCTCCTAGCTACCAAGGAGTATGGGCCCCGCCCTTTGGATGCCAATTCTAATGAGGGTGATAGGCTAGGTCAAATGTCTACATAGGGTAAATTGTAATTCAATTGGTCACTTATGTGTGACCTAACATGAATGTGGAGTTTCCTGTGTGTATTACAATCTCATTGGCCACCTGTGCGTGGCCAGGCCCAACCACAGGGCCTTTGCCCTTAAAAGCTGGTCTGTGAAACAGAGAAAGGTCGCTCTCTCTGTAAAAGGCATGGCCCTGGCCGGTCAGTCTGATTCTTGATGCCTGGTGCGAAATAAAGCTTTGCTTGACCTTCGCTTTCTAGCAGTCTCGCTCCTTTAATCACGGACCCATTATTGGGGGAACCTAACAGGTGGCTCAGTGGGTTAAAGCCTCTGCCTTGGGCTCCAGTCATGATCCCGAGATCCCGGGATGGAGCAACACATCAGGCTTTCTGCCTGGCAGGAAGCCTGCCTCCCCTGCCAGCCTGTCTCTCTGCCTACTTGTGATCTCTGTCAAATAAATAAAATCTTAAAAAATGGTGGGTTCTTCAGGGCAAGGCAAGGTTTGGTATCTCAGTCCACAGGTCAGCACCCATCTTACAGTCTAGAATGCAATGGGAAAGCTGGGGAATGCAAGAATCCCTCCTACCAGGACTTTAAGGGCAAGTGATAATCATAGCAATTTCATTCAAGGGACGTCTGGGGTTTCTTTGACACCAGGAACCTCTGACAAACATGGAACTGTCTACACATGAGCTATTGCAGAAATTTCTCTGAAATTTACCTCAAGTTGTCTAGCTTAGGCAAACAGCAAACATTCAAAGACAATGAGAACTGTAATTGTCTCTAACAACTATAATTGTCAATAACATCTGCAAAGGTAGGTTACTGAAACATAAATTTTTCTCTCTTAATCACTCTCATTTCCAGAAATAGCCAAATTAAGACTAATCTGTATGTAGAACAAGTCAAAATCTTAGCCTTACTTTTTCCTTTTGCCTTTGTTTCCTACATCAGTGTCACTTAGGCCAAGTCACCAAACTAGGGTTTGCTTATTTATTTTTTAAGACTTTTATTTATCTGACAGAGAGTAAGTGCACACAAGCAGGGAGGAACAGGCGAGGGAGAGTGAGAAGCAGGCTCTGTTGAGTAGGGAGGCTGATGCAGGGCCCGATCCCAGAATCCAGGGATCATGACCTGACTGGAAGGCAGACGCTTAACCAGCTGAGTCACTCAGACATCCTGAAACTGGGGTTTAATATCTAATCTACCTGCAGTGTCAGCCTCCCCCAGAAAGGTTTTAACTGAGTCAGGAATCTTCCTATCACCAATGAGGTAATCTGTTACCTACGCCTTCTCCACCCCCAAAAGCAAATGAGGTCATCGGCATGATAAGACCCAGTACCCTTTCCTCCAGGTGATAGTAAGCTTGCCTGGAATCCTTTTCTTTTGCTATTAACTCCTTGCCCCACCCTCCTTTTTATAAAAACCTTCTATTCTGTACAACTCTTGGGAGCCCCTCTCCACTTACCAAATGGGGTGCTGCCCGATTCATGAACCGTTTAATAAACCCAGTTAGATCTTCAAATCTGCTCAGCTGAATTTTGTTTTTTGGCTGGGCCCTCACTTCCATCTGAGATGCTTTGAGCCCAGTTATCTAAAAATCTTCTTGACTTAACTGTCCTCTGGACTCAAACACAGAGTTTATGGTTTGTTCCAACTATTAACCTTTGTTTTAGTTTTGTTTCCATAAAAAAATGCCTCTTATTAAATAGGTGACTGATTGCTCATGTTATGCAGAACACCCCCTGCAATACCACCTCCTGAAATGAGACACAACTGTTTAACTAACATATTCTCAGGACTAACAGAGTGGTTCAAAGACATGAAACTTCTTGGGAAGCTTCAAAGACAGGAATGAAGGATAGCAGAACACGCCAACCCCAAGTATGGCTCTTTGGCATCAAGATTATTCTGAGGAACAGCAGACACAGGGGAACCTCCGGAAACAGAGAAGTTAACCTTTTGAGTGGAAAATTTACATTTCTAAAGGAAATCTCCATTTGTAATGGTGCCCCCCCCCCTTTCCAGATAGAAGAGGGCTCTACTTTGAAGAGAATCTTATCTATGGAGAAAGCACCAAGTTAATTCTGCCTAACCAACCTTATCCTGTTTACTGTGCTTTTTCCTGGTTACTTCCCCACAACTTCTCCCCTTCTCCCATGCCCTGCTTCAGTCCTGAGTTGGTATTTAAACTGGTGACTAAGGCCAGCCGGGGAATTACTCACTTTTCCCTAGGTATCTTCCATGTATACCTGAGGTAAACTTGTTCAACTTCATTAAAAAAAAAATAATAATAATAATTTTTTTTTTAAAGAAAGCAATGGGCCTCCCAATTCCTATACCAGAGATCTGGCACCACATTTTAGGGACTAAAAAGTTCTCTTTGGGAGATGAAAAGAACTGAATAGGGACTGCAGTCAGTAATGCTGTGATGGCAATGTGCAGTAACAGAGGGTAGCTACCCTTACAGTGATGAGCACTAAGTAATGTACGGAACTGTTGAATCGTATGTAGTATACAAAGAACTACCATAACATTGTTAGGTCAGTTTAAAAAGCTCTTTTTTTAAAAATTAAGGTGCATTTATTTTTTGTATAGCACTCATCACCATTTGACATACTTTGTATTTTCTTTCTTTAATGGTCTGTCTCTCCCCTCTATGGTGTTAGCTCAATGAGGGCAGAGATTTTAGGTAAAGAATTTTACCTTTTAGGTAGAGCACCTTCAACAGGTCTTCTGGGTTTGTTTTCTCTTTCCTTTCTTCCTTCCCTCTCTTATTCCTTAAAATAAAAATATTTTAAGGCACTTACTAGGTAGCTGGTACTGTTCTAAGTACTGGAGATCCCAGAGAGAATAAAACATAAAAATCTCTGTCCTCAGGGCACCTGGGTGGCACAATAGGTTAAGTGATCTCAAGGTCCCATGACATCGAACCCCTGTAGAGTTCTGAGATAGCAGAGAGTCACTTAGGACTCCCTCTCCCTCTGCCCCTCCCCCCACATGTGCGCACACTCTCTCTCAAGTAAATCAATCTTGAAAAAACAAATCCCTGCCCTCTTGCAGCTCACACCCTGGTGTGAGAGACAAAACCAGTCTGTCAAACAGTGGTTAAGTGCTATAGAAAAAATGAATGCACCTGAATAAATGATTATTAAGGGAAAGAAAACAATTTGAAGAAACTACATACTACATGATCCTAATTATATGGCATTCTGGATAAGGCAGAACTATGGATACAGTCAAAGGATCAGTCATTGCCCACAGTTCAGAGGGAAGGTGGGGAGGGTGAACAGAGGGGGCAGGGGGGTTTTGAGGACAATGGAAACATTCTGTATGATACTCGGATAGATACCTGGCATTATACATTAGCCAAAACCCACAGAAAGCACAATCCAAAGAGTTAACCCCAATGTAACCTATGGTTAGGGATACTGTTATCGGGGCGCCTGGGTGGCTCAGTGGGTTAAGCCTCTGCCTTCTGCTCAGGTCATGATCTTAGGGTCCTGGGATCAAGTGCCATATTGTGCTCTCTGCTCAGCGGAGAGCCTACTTCCCCCTCTCTCTGCCTGCCTCTCTGCCTACTTGTAATCTCTGTCAAATAAATAAATAAAATCTTACAAAAGGAATACTATTAGCAATAGTAGTTCATCAATTATCAGTTACACTTTAAGGCAAAATGTTAATGTGGGAAACAAAGGCAGAAGGAATGTTAGATAAAATTAAATCTTATAACCAGATTGTTAACATTCCTCTTTATGAAAGTCCGTTTGGAACTTCCCCTATCTTTACTTCTCCCAACCAGAAGGTATAAAATCACTTGCTCCTCATAAGCCCGGAGCAGCAAGGAGCAAGAGCAACAGCAGCCACAGCAACTTCCACCCACAGGGCCTGTCCCAGTGCTTTAATAAAACCTCCACTTTGCGGGCACCTGCGTGGCTCAGTGGGTTGAGCCGCTTCCTTCGGCTCGGGTCATGATCTCAGGGTCCTAGGATCGAGTCCCACATAGGGTTCTCTGCTCAGCAGGGAGCCTGCTTCCCTCTCTCTCTCTGCCTGCCTTTCTGCCTACTTGTGATCTCTGTCAAATAAATAAATAAATAAATAAATCTTTTAAAAAACAAAACAAAAACCTCCACTTTGCACCAAAGACACCTCAAGAATTGTTTCCTGGCACTGGCTCTAGACCCCAACATTTCCACATCAGTATCCAGTGTCTCAATATTTCCTGTTTTATATTTAACATTTAAATATTCTTTATGAGAGAGTGGTTGTTCCTACCAGGAAAAAAGGTTCTGACCTCTTCAAGCCTTTTAGAAGATGTAAATTTATATGAAGGCAAACGTTTCCAAGACCTATCTTCACTCTTCTTCATGAACTGGTCAAAAATGAGTCTCATGTCCTTGCTCCAGCTGGGGTTGGGGAGAGAATGGTCCACGTGAGCAACCTCTGATGAGTATGACCTCTAGAAGAAAGAGAAGAGAAAAAGAAGAATGGGAAGTGAACCCTATCTTGTAACATATTTTTCTTTTTTCCTGAGACTATCTTGCTGCCTCTGCCTCTCCTCTTTCCAGAAGGTGGTCATTTCAGAGTAGAAGCAAATTTTAAAAATCAGCCAGACCAACCTCCGAGAGAGGAGAGATTGAGATTTGCTCAGTGTCACCCAACTAGCTTATAACAGCAGCATTTAGCTCAGGTCTGTGGATTCCCTTTTTAAAAAGAACAAAACACAACACCTTAATCAAGCACAAGGTAAACCAGGAACTGGAAGTAAACAGATGAATGTAAAAGAGTTACTAATGGGGTATGCAGGACCCAGAGCACAGGGAGAGGTATTTAGCTCAGATGTTGTGGAGGGCGGGAGGGGGGCAGTGGTGGTGGTTCAGGAAGGAATTTTTTGACCTGAATCTTGATTTGATGTAGGGAAGATGTTAGGCTTCGAAGTCAATGGTCAAGTAAGAATTCTTGAGCTATCTCTGGTGCAAAAAGGTGGTTTTATTAAAGCACAAGGACAGGACCCATGGGTAGAAAGAGCTGCACTGGGATTGTGATGGGTGACTGATTATATGCCTTCAAGTTGGGAGGGGTTAGGGATATACCATAAGTTGGAAGGAATTTTGGAAGCAAAGTCTAGGACCTTGAGGGGGCTGACTGTTGTTGGAAAGAGGTCATTTATTACTGTCAAATAAAACCTGAGTCAGGAGACCCTTCAGATGTAGATAAGTGGGCAGTGTGCTTAGAGGATGATTGCTAACATGTATCTTGGGGTGGGGAGTAGAGATAATGGAAGTTTCCAAGGGAATTTTTGTGTGTTTAAGTAGACCTTACAGGATCCTGGGGGTTGTGCTTAGATTAAGATTGCCTTTTGCTCTTAGCAAAGTATTAACATAAAGGCAGCTGAGTTCCTAGAGGAAACGTCACTCTGCCTGTTTCAAGGACTTATTAATGGGGTATAGTAAGGAAACTTAGTAATTTTTCTTCTACCTTCGTTCACCACATCAATTAGACAGCAGAAATTAGCTAGCTAGAAAGGGTACTGTAGGCAAGGGGAAACTATACGCAAAAGCAAGGAGGTATAACATAGTTTTATGGGGCCTCAGGACAACCACACTTACCAAATACTTATGAAGTAGGTACTAATTTATCATCCCCATTTTACAGATGATGAAACTAAGGCCTAAAGAAGTTTAGCTTTGTTTCAGTGCAAGGGGAAGAGCAGATGGCTGCAGAAATGCAGACAAGGGCATGGCTATGAGAAACTTCCATACTATGCTAGTTGGCCTGAACTGGTCTGTAACCTCAGTTGTTCCCAGAGGGATTTTCATAGGGAAATAACAAGATCTCATCTGGCCATCATATGAAAGATAATGGGAGGGATCAAGACTGGATCTGGGGACTCCTGTGTTAAGGCTTTTAGAGATAACTTACCCAAGTGAAAAATTATGACCGCATTAAGCAGATAATGAGTAAGGGAAGATTAAAAAGACAATACCAGCTCCAGGTTTCTGACCTATGCAACACAGTGAGTGACAGAGCCAATTACCAAGAAACAGAATAAAAAGAGGGGGCAGAGGTTGGGCGGACAGGTGCTTGCTGTCATCGTAACCATGGCTTCCACCCATGCTATTTCTCTGCAGCACTGGGCCATGCTACCACTCCTGTGCCCAGGCAGCAAGTGGAATGGTGCAGAGGTCCCAGGTCCTAGAGGGGGAGAAAAGGTGACTTATTAAGGAGCAGGACAAAGCAAATGGCCATAGGTACTGGAAAGGAAAACTGTTTTTGGTTTTTGGGGTCTTTTTTTTTTTTTGGCTTCAGCAGAAATCTTGGAATGTTTAAGATCACAGAAGCTATCAAGTCTACGGCATTCCACTTCGTCACCCTTTTCAGTTTAGATTCAGTGTATCTATAACAGTTGGACCACACCTGAAACCAAAACAGTAAGGCTGAGCCATGATGGAAGAACCAGCCAACTAGCCTTCCACTGACACATGATACATGACACCTCCACTGGCTCTTATCTAGCTGGCTCTGATCCTGGCCTGACGGTTGAGAATACAGGCAGCCGGTCTCAAAAACCCTACAGATTAAAAACTCCTTGGCTGAGGAGAAGGAAGTAACAATTTCATGAGGGTAATGTGAGTAGGGTTAAGACTACTCCACCCTAGCCCAGGATCTGTACCTGTTTTTTTCCTATGGCTTTGAATTTGCTCATCTCTTTAGAACCTAGTTCAGAAAATTTGGTAAAGAAAAGAAAGAGCAATTTACAGGTGCGCGGGTGGCTCGGTCAGTTAAGTGTCTGCCCTTGGCTCAAGTCATGATCCCAGGATCCCAGGATTGGGCCTGAATCAGGCTCCAGGGAGCCTGGTTCTCCCTCTGCCCTCCCCACCCCCTCATCCTCACGGACATGCACGCTCTCTCTCAAAAATAAAGCAGTTTTAGAGGGGGAGAGAGCCCCCGTATTGGAGAGCACAAGTTGTAGGAGAAGCAAGCCGCTCATCTAGCAGATAGTCCAATGTGGGGCTTGATCCCAGGACCTAGGGATCATGACCTGAGCCAAAGGCAGCCACCCAGGAGTCCCCAAAATAAAACAATTTTTAAAATCCACCATTATTTCTCCATCTCAAGACAATGATAGATGCTGGGGCATCTGCTTTAGGCTGGGGTCATAATCCCTGAGTCTTGGGATTGGGCATCCTGCTCAGAAGAAAGCCTACTTCTCCCTCTCCAACATAACCCCACACCACTCTCGTTCTGTGCCTCTCACTATCAAATAAATAAAATCTAAAAAAAAAAAAAAAAAGACAATGATAAATGTTTATGTCTTTCTACCAACTTTTCTTTAATGTGATCTTTCTCTTATTTATTTATGAGAGAGCAGGGGAGCTTGAGGGTGGGGGAGGAGCAGATGGGGAGGAAGAGGGAGAATTTCAAGAAGACTATCCACTGAACTGAGCATGGAGTCTGACACAGGGCTCAATCTCAGGACCCTGAGATCCTGACCTGAGCAGAAATTAAGAGTTGGATGTTTAACCAACTGAGTCACCCAGGGGCCCTTCAATGTAACCTTTTTTTTTTTTTAAGATTTTATTTATTTATTTGACAGAGATCACAAGTAGGCAGAGAGGCAGGCAGAGAGAGGGGGAAGCAGGCTCCCTACTAAGCAGAGAGCCCGATGCGAGGCTCTATCTCACCACCCTGGGATCATCACCTGAGCTGAAGGCAGAGGCTTTAACCCACTGAGCCATCCAGGCGCCCCAAATGTAACCTTTCTTGATATACTCGTAATTTCAGTAAGAAATGTATTTTTCCTTTCTGCCTCACCACTTAAGTACCCACTTTTTCATGTCCTTAATCTCAATTATCACCATTTTCTTTTCTTTTCTTTTTTTTTTTTTTAAAGATTTTGTTTATTCATTTGATAGAGAAGGAGATCACACGTAGGCCAAGAGGCAGGCAGAGAGAGATGGGGAAGCATGCTCCCCGCTGAGCAGAGAGCCCCATGTGGGGCTCGATCCCAGGACCATGGGACCCTGGGACCCTGACCTGAGCCGAAGGCAGAGGCTCAACCCACTGAGCCACCCAGGCGCCCCAATTATCACCATTTTCAACAGCAGAAAAATAGTCCTTTAGACTCCTGTACTATAATTTACTTAACCATTTAAGTTAGGCATTTAAAGCGTTTCTAATCTTTTGCAGCTTTAAGTAAGAATGTTCACTGGAAAATTTTGAATATAGCTTTTTCTCTGCTTTGGATTATTTCCTTAGAATCCAGTCTCAATCACATGGCTTTTAAAGTACATGAATTCTGGAAATAAACTGATATAAGCAGTCACAGATAAATACGCACTGAGCAATACATGTCAGCTGAGAGGTAGAAAAGACTGTAGGATCTGGCTCATCTACAGGTCTCAACAGGCGACTCTACCAGAGCTAGGGTGGCTCAGTCCTTAGGTATCTGCCTTTGGCTCAGGTCCTGATGGAGCCCCCACATCCAGTTCCCTGCTAGATGCAGAGACTGCTTCTCCCTCTCCCACTTACCCTGCCTGTCCGTGCTCTCTCACTGTCTGTCAAACAAATAAATAAAATCTTAAACAGGCAACTCTAGGATGGACCAGTTCCAGCGTCTTTTTATGGACCAGGATGAGAGAGATAATTGGAGACTTTTAGGAACTAGAATGACCCCTTGGCTGTGGGCTGTCCTACCGGATTTTAACTTTGAAGTGTGGGATTCAACTAAATGCAGTGAACTTTTAAAAATCTGCTATATGCCTGGTTTGGTGCTAGGAACTGGTTGAGACAGAGCGGGAAAAGAGGACTTGGGCCCTGCCCTCAAGTGGTGGCAACCTCAGGTGTGAAAAATACTGTAACAGGAGTACATTATAGACACAGGAGTGACAGGGATGAGGTCTGATGGAGTGGTTTCTAAAGTGTAAGAAGTGCACTAAGGACAGAATGGGAGAGCTATACCAAGCAAAGGCACAGAGAGATGACACAACTGTTTGACACCTTGGGGAACTGCCAGGATTTCAGTCCTCATGATGTAAGGTGCAATGAGAATAGCAGCCAGATGTGGATGGCAAAGTAGAAGGGGAACACTCACCACCGAGCCTCTGTGGCCTTAACACAGGGCTTAGATTTCATCGGCTAGGTCAATGTTTCCAAACGTCAAAATGAAAGCTGATTTTAGGTAGCACAAGGACTACAGCATATGTATTTTGAGAATGCCTATTATCAAAGGACATAAATAACATGTCATATTCGGCAATCTCACAAATGTTATTTCTTAGGATGAAGTTCATTAAAGAAAGGTAGTCTTTAAAAAACCATGAAGGTGCTATTTGAATGATAAAATACTTTTTTCCACTATGGGGAGCTTTAAGCAAAGCAGTAATATGAACTTAGGTTTTAGAAACCACTCTCTGGTGTAAAAGATGAATTGCTAGGTGAGAAAATGGCAGGGAAAGCTGTTAAGACTGTTGCAAAGATCTAGATGAGATATGGTTAGAAGCCAAACTAGATAGAGAGAAATGAAGGGGAAAAAAAGATTAAGAGACTTTTAAGATACTGGGACCAAGGGATGTGGAGAGAGAATGATCATGGGGAAAAAGTAGTAGGAGAGCCTTGGATGATTCCAGAATTGCAGCTTTGCAGATTGGGGTGGAAAGAAAGGAGATTTTTGTTAGTCTTTGTGTGTGTTAGGAGGGGGAAGAGGAGGAGTAATCTATTAATTTTAGATGCATGTAGAGTGTAGGACCTCAGATGAACACTGTGATATTGTGAGAAATAAAAAGTTTCAGTTCAACAGGGTAGGAATCAAGAGATACTTGATGTAAAGGCATTTGCAAATTCCCAGCACAGACTGTGTACGTGAGGGATAAATGTTAGGGATAATCATTACCTTTTGTAGCTCTCTGTAGAGGAAAAGTCTTTAGTTATATGTTTTTTAAGGGGGACTTGTTAACTGAAGTTATGACTTCTTTTTAATGTGTTTCCTTTTAAGATTAAGTTACTGAACAGGAAAAAAAAAGACTTACAAAGCCTCTAAATACTATTGTTAAATATTCTCAACACAGATTACAAGGCACCAACACGTAATTAAAGTAATAAATTTATCTTTGCTGTGAGAGCAGCACAGCCTATTTTCTTTCTGAGGTGAAAGATGGTATAGGATTAATAACCAGTCTGCACACATTATTCTTTAAAAGAAAGGTCTGACAGCTTGCAGTTCTTGCTCAGTACAGAACTGTTCCTTCCATGTTCCCTTAGTACTTCATTATTACAGCCGTTCACCCTTTTCTCCCAAACTAGACTGTGAGCTCCTTGAGAGAAACTGTTTTCTTATTCTTTATATCATGAAGACCAATGTCTTACATGTTGTTGGGGTTCGATTAGTAATAATTGAATACTGGGGTGCCTGGGTGGCTCAGTGGGTTGGGCCTCTGCCTTCGGCTCAGGTCATGGTTCCAGGGTCCTGGGATTGAGCCCGGCATCAGGCTCTCTGCTCTCAGCAGGGAGCCTGCTTTCCCCTCTCCCTCTGCCTGCCTCTGCCTACTTGTGATCTCTCCCTCTCTCTCTGTCAGATGAATAAATAAAATCTTTTAAAAAAATAATTGAATACTTCAGTGAAGCGAAACATAGGGAAGTAAGAACAAGCATTATTTAGTACAGGCAGTGCATTAAACGTTGCCTCATTTTCCTCTTACAATAGCCTTTAAAGTTGAGAAAGTGGCTTATGGGACAATTATCCGCTGGGCAGAGATGATCAGGATGAAACTCTAGAAGGGACACCGCTCTTCTGGCGAGCGCATACTGTAATGGTCAGGAGCAGTACTGCCTACGTCAGACCCCAACTTCACTACGGGCCTCTCTGTCTGACCTTGCCCAAACGAGACCGTTTTTTTTGTTTGTTTGTTTGTTTTTTAGATTTACTTATTTATTTATTTGACAGAGATCACAAGGAGGCAAAGAGGCAGGCAGAGGGGTGGGGGAAACAGGTTCCCCACTGAGCAGAGAGCCTGACGCGGGACTCGATCCCATGACCCTAAGATCATGATCTGAGCCGAATGCAGAGGCTTTAACCCACTGAGCCACCCAGGCGCCCCCACGACCGCTTCCTTATCGGTCTCAGCCGCAGCCATCCTCCCCGACCTGCAGACCAGAGTCCAACATCCCGGAGGCTGCCTCACGCCGGTGTCCCCTTCCTGTCCCTCTCGGCCTTTGGCTCTCAGGGCTGTAAGCGACCCCGCTAACAACGACGTCTGGCACTGACGTTAGCTTTTACCCCGCGGTCAGCGGATCAACAGGTCAGCGCGGCCGTCCTCACCCGCTCCCCCTAGACACAGGCTGTCCTTGCGCGGCCTCCCGCTCCCGACGCCCCGCCCCCGGACTCACAGGCAGCGGCCACGAGTTCCTCGCCGGCGGGGACGCGCCTCCCAGCGGGCCGCAGAGGACTCCCGGTGTCCACAGTCGGTAGACGCAGCTCCGCAGCATCGCTCGGAGGGCGCGCAGGGTTTCGACACAAACGGCCTGGCGGTCGCTGGCTCACGGGCTCTTCCCAGTCTCCGAGGGAACACGTGACCAAGGGGGCGCGGCTTGAGGCGGGCGGGGCGGTGGCCTTTGGTGTCGTCAAACTTGGCCCTCGCCAGGTCCGGGCCAACTACTGTGAAACCACCCGGCTGGAAGGCTAGGGGAGCGAGGCCCGGGAAGCGGGGGGGGGGGGGGGGGGGGGGGGGGGGGGG